TTTTCTTTAAAAACGCCCTTTTTTTCTTTTTTTCTTTTAAAAAAAGTGCAAAATTTTCCAACCCCCCAAAAAAAAAAAAAAAAAAAAAAAAAACAGTGACTGGTTTGACAGAATCTGGATGACGTGATGAAGAAATATGTTTACCCAAAAATGTTGAAACTTTTCCAACTGAAAGCATTCCAGTGAGAAATTACTTTTTTTAACAACAAACTCCAACATTCACCAAATGTCATCTCATCTAAACCAATAGTTTAGAATTTCATTCGGCCTGATTTCAATTCATATTCATTATTTTTAGTAAAATCAAATCATGAAGTCACTTTCAGATCTTCAAACTATATAAAAGCATGTCGAGAGGAAAGCCATTGTTGAAAGACAGCAAATCACAAGTCTTGTCAGAAACTCTGACCCTGTAAGAAACGATGCCATGTTGAAACATGGCGGTGGCATCATATTACTGTTTTTCAGCACAGACAGGGAAGATGGCCCTTGCTGTCCATCCATTCATCAATTTTTCCTCCTTATCCTCCCTCTATCCAAACATTCTTTTCAACTTCAAGCTTCATCCTGCTTTCCTATCCACCATCTCTGTCGCCTACGCACCAATCCAGCCTCCCCCCCTCGTCTTCCCATCCAAGCTTTTTCTCTCCCATCCTTCCACCCATCTGGTTCCTTCTCATCTTTCTCCTCATCCCTACAGTCCTTATAACTTTTTCTGTCCTTTTACCGTCTCTTCCGTCCATCCTTCCTTTGTTTTAATCTCTTTTTCTAGAGAAAGGGGATGTAGGGGTGTTAGGGGGTTCCTCTGCCAGCTTGGGATAACAGTCTTCCGAGACAAAGCCCCCTCTCCGGGTATCACAAGCCTCCAGTCACGACACGTCCCAGATAAGCCTAATCAGAGGACCATCACATCCGTCCATACCTTCGTCACTAATTCCTCCCCCTTATTAGCTCACACTTTCCTCCTCATGAACTCAGCAAACTTAAAACAAGCCGTGCCTTTGCTCATACAGAGTAGTAATGTTTTCACCTGGTGGAGGGGGTGCACTCTTTTCTTACCAGCACTCAACTCTTGGATGTTGTCTGGATTGATGATACAACCTGAGCTACAGCAGAGAAGTACTTAGAAATGATGAAATCTGATGTGAAATCAAACCGATAATTAAAATCCTGCGAGACGTTCCGTGTGTGAGCACCAGGAGGCTCACTGTGACAAGTCCTGCGCACGTTGGTTCCTCACATGGAGTCTTGCCTCAGAGTTTCAGCTTAAATAGGTTGCTCTCTCCGAGTAAACCACATTGTTTTTGCTCACAATAATCGAGTGAAAATGTTGTCACTGCTGCTCAGGCAACGCAGCGTGCATCCAATGCACTCTGCCCAAGGCGGGTTCAGCTTGGTTCTGTAGATGACTGGCGCCCTCTAGCAGTCATATCTATGCACGCTTAAGCAGCAACATTTGGCCGCCTTTCCCTACACCCCCCCTCACCCCCTCCCCGCACCCATCCCTTTCCCAAATACACTGTAGATCATTACAAGCTGTCACTCTTAAAGATAAACTCACGGGTTCAGTTTCGGATTTGTCCTCTAGCCACTGACTGAGATTTCATCTCTCTCTCTCTCTGAGCTGACGGGCACCATGATCACCCACCGCTTCATTCCTATTTCTTTGTAATTTTCTGCAGCAGATGTCCTGCATATGGGGAAGAAATCACTTTGGGCCATGAAGGACTTTACTGAAGGAAATCCATGTAATCTGCCACGTCTTTCAGTTAATCAGGAGACTTAATAAGTCATGAAATCGTTCAAAGTGTGACTGGGTTGCAGATTTAATGAGCACTCTGCCTAGATGAACAGCCGAGGTGTCTGGGTTGCTGGGGAAACTCTCGTGTGCCTTTCAGAATGGTAAGGGGGAAGAGGATGCCTTCGAGGACCGTTAGAAATTTAAAAGTTGCATATTGACTGAGTGGTAAATGAGTCAGAAAAGGAGATGCATTCTTCCAGAGGAAGAGGAATCTGTATTCGCCACACTTTATGTGATTTGGACAGTTTCTTCCAAATCACAGTAGTGGTAGGTTTTCTATGGGCAGTTGCCCAGGGCAGCCTTAGAAGAAGGGGTGTTATTTGCACATTTATCCCACTACACAATTTAGATCATTCGATCAATTTATCCTTACTCTTTCAGCTGAATTTGTGATTTTTTTTAAAAACATTTTTATTTGAAATTTTATAGGAACCATTCATACATTTGTTGTATTCTTAGTAACCCTAGAGATATAATTCACACACATTTCAGTTTGCATGGGCTCCAGAAACACACACATATTGAATAAACATGTGATTTAAACATTTAGGTCAGGAACAAATGACCAAGCAGAAAACAAACGATCAACCATAAGAAAACAGACAAAAGAAGAAGGAAAAAGAAACCACATAGAGGCTCTCAGACAGATACAGTAGAAACCAATTACATTTCCACACACCAACAATTTTCTTCAATCTTATTCACCAGGGTCATACATATCTTATATTAATTTTCTTCATCTACGAATTTTGCATCTTTAACAAATAAATAAAGTGAAGACCAAAACCTCCTCAAATTTCTCTTGCTTCCCTTTTGTATACAAGTCATTCTTTCCAAGGGAAAAGTTTCTAACATTTGTCTAATCCAGAATGTGATACTATCTACTACCTGCTCCTTTCCAAAAGAGTGCGATAGATTTTTTTTGGAGACAGAAACCACGTCCATTGAGTGAAAAGAGATAAAATATTTACCGGCCAGTTTCGGACACGTTTAAGGATAAGTAAATTATATTTTGGCTCATTCTACCTTCAGGGCAAGAGTATAAAATAACCAAAAGGCCTGAGGTGTTATGAATTCCTGATATCATGTATAAATGCTTTATGGACGAAAGCAATATTTTAAACTGTTGCACTGGGAAATCAATGGTTAATGTAGTGAGCACGATCCTATTATCTGTCAATTATTTGGATGAAAAGTCCAAATTAGAGAGCTGCCACATCTGGCCATAGGCAAAGTGAACGCAACAACAGCCTCAATGACACAAACGTACAAAGGAACGGTTTACAAATGTGCAACTTTGTACAAGATATGGGAAACCCAGAACAAATGATGCAATGTTTTGGTCCATCCATGATCCAATCATCCTGTTCCACATCATAAAGATTTTTTTTTGAGCTGGGATCTGGCAATTGATCTTCACTAATATTTATGACAGTCTATATATTTTTACATTTCTTCTTAGGAAGTCGTGACATTAACAATTCATTGCGACTTTGTGTGTTTTTCCACAACCCAGCTCAAATTGCTTTCTAGAGGATTTTTCCCTACATTGTAGTTTTACTTTGATTGGCCTAAGTTGTAGGTTTTGAAAAAGAAAAAAGATCATCAAATGCAATACAGATTACGTTAAATAATGTAACCGGCGCTTTAATCTTTAATCATTACAGTGCTTATATAGTGGAAAATAAAAAGACTGGAAATACCAAAAAGCAATACAGAAATAAGTGACAACTTTATTTTTGACACTCCTTTTGCCCAGAGAAAATGGTGCCCATGGCAAAAAGCCCTATGGCTGTTTTTTAAAAAATATATACCATTGTCATAACTATTAGTAAGGTTAATGAATGCTATTAATTTTTCTTGAAGGAATAAAAAGGAAGAAAAAAAACATTGCCCAAGGCTCTCCAACTCTCACATACGTGTAATTATTCAGATGGACTGATCAGTAAGTGGGTACCAAATTCAATTTTGCTTATGACCTTATTCAATCTGGCGTGATCACAATAAAATGCTGTGCGGTTTATACGTGACCTGCGTGTAAATGTCTTTCAAGGCTCGGAGCGTGACAGTTATATCACTTCGTTTGAGGTCGCAGGGAGACAACCCCTTACGTTGATACAGGTAACCGAGGCGTGGCCAGGCGCACAGGTGGAAAAAAAAAAAAGCAAGCTCATCACCTGGCAGCCGTTATTTCTCTTCCCGTCCTGCACTGTAGCGCTGTGCTCCGGTTATGGCCTCGAGTGGCGTGGGGAAGTGCTTGCTGTTCTTCTTCCTCGCCTTGGCGTTCGACGCCGGCGGCCTGGCGATGCTCCTCGTCGGCATTTTCGGCAACCTGACCGCAGACGGCCGCTTCTACGGGGACTTCCTCATCTACACGGGCTCCATCATCATTTTCTTCAGCCTGATGTGGTGGGTGTTGTGGTACACGGGGAACGTGCACCTGTACGCGCCGGGATACAGGAGGGACTCTCTGGACGCCAGCCTCACGCAGTGGGCCAGGAAGTTGTCCGAGAGGTTCTCCAAGGGCGGCGGCGGCAAGAAGCCCCTGGAAGCGGCGGAGGGTGAGCAGGAGATGAAGAAAAAGAAGATACGTGGAGAGGTGGTGGAGGCGAAGGGGACCGTGCGCTTCTCTGCGCCGCCTCGGATTACATGGGAAGCCGGCGGCGGAGGTCAGGATAACGGGGGCTTTGACGGATGGAGCGAGTGCGCATCTCCGACTGATAAAAACGTGGAGCTGGGGGTCCTGACGGTGGCGGAGGCGGTTCTGCAGGCGGGAGACACTAAAGCAGAGAGGCTCCTCTGACAGCATGGTGCGTATTTGTCTCACCTGTAAGGCCGCGAGAACCTCTGGGCCGAACGGTTCCAACTAGGACTGCATCGATTGTAGTTTTCTGGACGATTACCGAAACAGATAAATAATTAAAAAGTCTGACCTGCCGATTCTTAGCGATACCCCCGCAGCCCCATGAAATGTTGCTAAATATAGCAAGAAAGTCCACTAACTAAAACTTTTACCCATTCTTCTTTACAAAATATCTCAATTTCTGAAATTTGATGGCAATCGTCTATAAAGTCATTCTAAACTTTTGCTGCTGATTCTCAGTTGGATTTGGGTTTGAACTTTTACTGGGCCATTCTAGCACATGACTGAGTTTTGATCTAAATCCTTTGACCATATCACTCACTGTATGTCTATAGGGTTTTTGTCCTGCTTGAAGGTGAACTTCTCGAACTCTCTGAAGTCTTTGATAACTTTTAACTGGCTTTCAGGATATTTATCTCCACTGATATTGCTCATCAACTCCAATCAGTTTCTTTCACTGTTGACAAAAATACAGCATTTTCCATAGGGCTGCATAATTTCAGGAAAGCATGCAATTAGCCATAATAATTTTACTTGAAATGAATAATCAAATACTCAGAAGTCCAAATGTTGTTCTGCTTGTAGGTTATTGACAAAATGCATAACATGTAGGTAAGATAACTTTACCACCACCTTTCCAAACATTTCTGTGCTACATTAAACAGTGTTAACGACGTTGCTAGCATGGAGAGCCTTAAGTTGCTTTTTTCTTGCCACTCTTCCATAAATTCCAGATTTGTGGAATCCATGGCTAATAGTTGTCAGATTTTTCCACCTGAGCTGTTGGCTTGTGCTTCTCCTCCAAAGTTCCCTGCTTTAAACTTCTCCACAGCTCTGTCCCTGCTGTTTTCCTTCATTTCCATGATGTTGTTTGTTTTAGCTAATGCTCTCTAAGGAAACCTTTTGAGGTTTTCACAGAACTGGATTTCTTCAGATTAAATTGGTCATTATTGCTTATTAATTGAGTAACTTCTGGAAGCAATTGGTGTGTTTTTTGGATAACGTTTGGAAAGCTATATATTTTTTCTTCCTTCGCAGTTATATACTGCTGTGCGTTAGTCGGTCACATAAAATCCCAATAAAACACACTGAAAGAAAGTCGTGCTTGACAAAGTGTGAACTTTCAAGGGGTGTGAATACCTTTGCATGGCGGTAAATAATCCTTGTTAGCGGCCTGTCGTCACTTTGCTTAGCATGAGTTTTTCAGCTACATCTAACTCGGGCTTTTTTTTTTTTTTTTCCCCGTCACCGCTGCCATCCCCGTCCTCTCACAGGTTGTCATGGCAGCCCTCCTCAGGCTCGCCCCGGTCTTAATAAGGGAAATATCTCACATTATTGGCAGGGATTAGATGAAACTCATAGTGAAGATGGTCCTGAGAGGTAATCACCCACCCACCCATAGGTACACGCACCTCTCCCACCCCCCCATCAACCCTCCAAGGGGGCTGCCCAGCTCTATGCTCATGAATATCTGTAATAGTCTTTTTTTTTTCTCTTCCTTCTGCACCCTCTCCACCCGAGTTGAGAGATCTTCAGTGACCCATGGCAGTTTTTAATTAATGAGCCTGACCGTTTGTGCTCACCTTCACACTTCAGCAGTATTTTAGCCGTCAGTTTGCTTGTAAGCGGCTGGCCAGTCAGACACCCTGTGGGCATAAAGGCACAATTGCATTTTTAATGGAACTCTGCAGCACTTATTGATCCGGTGGAATGGAGTGCGATGGGTACGGCGATTGGGTTTTAGCCGCGGCTGAGCCGCCGAAGGAATGCGAGGATCTTATCTTATTCTGCATAATGCCCACTGATGCCATCCCACTAGCTATAAATGGGTGTGGTCTTTTTTTCTTCTTCTTTTTTTTAAAGTTACAAAGAAAAAAAAGGTGCCAATCCACAAAATAACAGCGCCTCGCATTTGGTTCCCTGGGGGATCTGCTGAAGGTGCAGTTCATTAAATCCAGACATCATCCAGATGGTGACGCTGTTACTTTGTAAGCTCTGATCACAATGTTTCAGTAAAGTGGAGGATAACCTGTGAGTGTATCATTATCCAGAATAAAATTATTCCTATACTGATGTTGGGTAATGTGACAGAGTCGTGAAGAAGCCATTAATCCAAACGCAACATAAAAAGCCAGATTAGTTTGCACTCCATTGACCTCCATTTTTGTAGCTTTTATTTATTTAAAACTATAAATCAAAAACAATATATGTCACAATAGAGGCGTTATCAATATCAGTAGATAATGCATCAGATTCAGTAATTTCACTGACTGCACAGCATTCTGGGAGATATAGGTAAAGAAAAGGCTTTAGTCGCTCAACCTCTCACGGCTGGCTAAGCAACTTTGGTGGCATCAAGTAACTGGCTCGCTCTTTGGTTACCTAGCAACAACCTGCTGAGTAGCTTGTGCAGCAGCAGTTTCATGTTTCACCACCATGCCTCTTAACAGCTTAAAAATAAACAACAACTGTGAGAAGTGAGGGTAAAACAGGAAAGGTCACTTCACTAGTTTGACAGTATTTCATATATTTAAAACTACAATTGTAGAGAGAAACATGGGGGGAGGGAAACTGGGTAAGATCTTTCCAGTTTATAAGGCTTTATTATTATTATTATTATTATTTGACGGCATCTTTCAAGTCTTGTTTAGGCTTCATAATCCTGTGTATTTGTTTTTAAGAGTGTCGAGTTTGAAAGAGATTAAACTTTCAGATTTGTGATGTAGACGGCTACTTCCTCCCATTGGGTCAAATATTATCACAGAGTATCAGTGCACACTTCTTTTCATAACCCAGGTCCCCGCCTTAGAAAAACACTGCTTATGTAGCATCAACTTACCCTTTTTTTTTTTTTTTTCCCCTGAATGAGAACGTATTAGAGGTTTGGCAAAGCTGGTTAATCAGTATGTGTAATTTATCATTGCCAAACACAGAAAGAGGGATTGGTCAGGATTAGATGCTGATTGCTTCATGCTTGCATTTTTCACATGTTCTGAGCTGCCTGTGTGGTGGTGTGAAATTACTCAATGTTTCTGTGAAGCCATGCCGTACCATGTTGACTCGTTTACCTGTTCTGGGGATGTAAACATCAAGACTGTCTGAAACAAACATTTTAAAAATATATATAGTTTTCTTGGATATTCATCTTGAGATCTGGAAAGCAAGCTAGAACAGCATTATACTAAGTTGTTTTTTTTAAAGTGATATTGCATTGATATTGTGATTAGGATGGTGGTTGTGATTAGCCCACATTTTTCTCAATCTTCCTTTTAATATTTTAAAATTGTTGTTGTTAAACCTTAATGTTGAGAACAGGGTGGCACATGCAGATGTCTAAATATTAAACCAAATGTGCTTATTTTTTTGTATATCGAAAGCCTCATTTGATAATGCAAAGTATTTGTCAATCATTCAAAATTAAGGACTAAGGTTGCTTGTTTTTAGAAATAAAGGTTGCAGATATGTTGAGGATTTGTAGTGTAATACTATTTATCCAGGACAATATCCAAAATTAAAACCTACATCTAAAATGTGCAAAATATTTCAAATCTGTGCAATTCTCACATTGGTATACAGATGAGGCCAAAGGCTTACATACACTGAATAGAAAGACATGAGTAGACATTAATAAATGTCTGACATGTTTTCTCTTATTATTATTGTGACATTCAGTAAATAGAAAAAGAAAGTTGACCTAAAATAAAAGACATTTCACCTGACCACCTGCATAAAGTTAGTTTTCTCTTGACCTGTTGGGTCACTGAAGCTGTTTCTTTTCTTTTTTTTCCTGTGTGATACAGCATGTAGCCAAAATTAAACACACAAAGAGAAACCACCGCAAAGCTATTCTCAAACAACCTCTTTTATTGCTACCAATAGTCTGAAAATGTTCATGAATTTGCATACAAATCATCTTTGAAAAACAGTTGCGTAGCACACAACCTTTAGCTTATCTAGATTTAGACTTACAACTAGTGGCGAGAAGTCATAACCTGTTACAGTAACTCACAGTAATTATTTTTTGTGTGTACCCAATTTTTCTATCAAAAGTGACTTTTTTTTTTTTTCTTTTTTTTTTCCTCCATTACCTTTACAGATGGTGTAGTCGGTGCTCCTGGACATGAGCTACTTCCTGTTTTTGTTGGGGGTTTTTTTTGTTTGTTTTTTTTCCTTCTCCCCTGAGATTTCAACAGACTTTAACATTTACACTTGTGAGCAAAAAGTCACGTTTATGAGAACATCTTGCTTGGTGTAAAGCTCTCTAAAATGAGGAAAGCTACACGGTGAAGAAAATGTACATTTCGTTTTCATGTTTTTTGTGTAACTATATGTATATTTGTGTCTAAATTATTTTTGGGAATAAAGTGCAAAGATATTTAAATGTGGTTGTGTGACTCTCCGAGCAGTGGATGCTGTCTGCTTTACTGAAAGAGACTACGTTTCAAAGATAATCCTCAACAAAGTGTCACCTTTTGAATGTCTACAATTACAAACAAATATTTGGGATTTAACACGCATGGATAATTTCTTCCTACTTTATCCAAACCTACTTATGGCTCAGCTGCAGCTGGGTCTGTAAGGAAAGGAAAGCAAATTCGTCAACAACCAGAATATCGCTTATCATTAAGGAAACGCATTTGTCTGGTGCCAGCGGGTGGTTTAAAAAAAAAAAAGATGTAGATATAGGAGGAATGTGACCTGAATGTTTAAGCTCTTTCCGTGTCATCTGTCACACCGCTTCACTCCTCGTGAGGTGCCGTGCACAGAATGGAAAGAATAAAACTAAGTTTCACGAGTTACAGCTCTTGGATCGGCCGCTGCGTAGTGTTTTTCTTCGTTGCCGTCCTCCTTGACGCGGTCGGCCTCGTCGTCTTCATCACTGGGATCGCCTCGCCCGTCAGCTACTGGGACTTCCTCGTCCTTTCTGGGCCACTAATCGTGTTCCTCAGCCTGGTGTTTTGGATTTTGTGGTACATTGGAAACGTAGAGGTGCCGATCGAGGAGCTGACTCAAGTTTGAGGCTCCTCGTCAGCAATCGTTTATCACCTTTTGCTGGATGAGGAAACTAAGGCAGCTACAGGTTCAAATCTTCTGCTGTAAAATAAACGTACGTGGAGAAAGTAATGTGTTTGTTAAAAGTTTTGTTGCTTTCCTTTGTTCAGTTTCAGGTGGTTTTTGTGCTTGGACTCTTATCTCGAAGGACAAATTTATGGAGCCGTAATCCCAAAAGACATCCGACTGCTGAGAAGGAAAAGTTCTGAAGATCGCTTCAGACCAAGGAAAGTGCAATCATTAAGACTCTTTTGTATTTTGACAAATAGGCCTGGATGATGTTTACTCCAACTTGCCCCCAGAAAAGCCAAGATGAAAAGGAACAGACAATAGCAAATTGCTGTAGTTATTTTTAATTGGCATTATTTTTGAGCATTTTGTTCCCAACTAATATTATGTTATAACCATTTGGGTCTCTTTTGTGCTCGTATTCCATCTTTTGTGTCCTTTTTAAATTCACATTGTGCCTGTTTGATTCATCCTTTAGCTTTTTATCTCAAACTTGCCTTCTTTGTAAGCATTTCCTTTGTTTGGCGTCTTGTGCATAATTTTTTGTTAAAGTTCCATCCCTAAGCTGCGCTTTTGTATCTCTATTGCTACGCTGTCCTTTTGTGATGAACATATTTCCCAAATTGTCCTGATTACTGTAATGTTGCTTTTGTGCAAATATTTGATGCATTTCTCAAATCTAAAAGTGAGCGGTCAAATAAGTTTTTGATTCCTACACAACTTCTTTTTTGTTTTCTCATGCAGTCTGACCATATTCTGTTTCAAATGGAAACATAAAAACAATTCAGATTAGTTTATTACTTTGCTGCACTTGTTGGCACTTTTTTAAAACTTGGACAACCTTTTGGATTTAGGTAATGCAGTCAAAAGATGTACACCAAACTCAACTATGAACTTTATTGAAAAGAAGAACCCAAACGAATAATTACATCAATACATAATGCCAAAACAATGTTGTGTAGATTTAAAGCTCTGAGGACAGAGCAGGGAATAAAGCTGAAGGCCAGACCGTCAAATTTCACAGCCGCTCACTTCTGGTCTTTGCAGTTGACCAGGAACCTGATCTACCTTTGTAGTCCTTCGTGGACGAAGCACCAGGTCCTTTGAGGGGGACAGCCCCTCCATTTGGACACACCCTGTCTGTTACAAAATGTATGTAATGTGAAAAAAAAAAAGTTTATGGAATCAAGGATGCTTTTACACTTTTCTGTCATGTATCATTGTGTTCTGTGTAAATAAATGTCTAATCCCATACTTCAGTCCAAAGATGATAGAAATGTTCTATAATCTTGTTCCAACACTGACTAGCTGATAGTTTACCATCCTAGTTGATAACATCCTCTTGATGACTTTCAGATAAAAATCGTTCTCTACTAAAGGGACTTACTACTCTCATCTCCGCTACATAGCACCCCTTCTCCCCCGTCTAATAAGTCCTTCCTTTGTTTCTCCTTCCTGCATGTCAGCAACACGTGGTCATTTATCATGTCTGTTTTGCTGATTTTGTGCTTAAGGCTGTTGTTCTCGATCAGTCTCTGTGGTGATTTTAGAGTTGTGAAATCTGAGTATTGGTCGCTCAGACCGTTCAAAAGGAACCAGTCAAACTGGGTCCTTCAGTTACAGACCACCGAGCAGTGTCGTTTGTGAAAAAGACAAAATGGTAACTGATTTTTTTCAATGGTGGAATCAAACTTTGTGGATTTGTTTATTGAGCTACTCATGTGCTCAGGTGTTATCTTTATCTCAGGTATGTCATACAACTTGTTTTTCACCAGTCCAAACGCACACCCTATTTA